CATCAAATTGCGCATCAAAATCATCGGTTGACTGTGAGAAGCACAGCAAACCAAATAAACTTCAGTAGAGAAACAGTTCAGAAAATCTTCACTGAGAATCTTGGCGTGAGAAATATGTGTGCAAAAATGGTCCCAAAGGGGTTCTTGCATCACAACAATGACCAGCTCACATAGCACTCCCTGTGAGGGACTTTTTAGCCAGTAACCAGATAACTGTATTGGAACATCCTCCCTACTCACCTGATTTGGCCCTCAATGACTTTTTTCTTTACCCAAAGATAAATACTGAAAGGAAAACATTTGGATGACATTCAGGACATTAAGAGTAATACAATAAGCATAGTGATGGCCATTCCAGAAAAAGATTCTACAATTGCTTTGACAAGGTGGACCAAGCGCTTGCATCAGTGCATAGCTTTTCAAGGGGGGTACTTCAAAGGTGACCATACTGACCTTCAGCAATGAGGTATGTGGCACGTTTTCTAGGAGGAGTTCATGAACTTAATTGTCACACTGCATCTACTTTATTTAGATTTCATAGATTGAGTTTGATTGCCAAATTAAATATTATACCATGATATGACACTGAAATTAAAAAGTTACTGCAAATGCAGAAATTCATAAAATCAGAACAATGGGACATAAATTTGATATTAGTAAAGCAAGTTTTGTCATCAAAGAAATGACTTAATTTTTCTATTTTCTTGTGAAGCAAAAATTGAGAGAGTCCTATGGACTAGAAAAGAAAGCTAAGCTAGGCTCGGTGGCTCAGCCTGTAATCCCATGCCTTTGGGAGGCTGAGGTGAGTGGATTGCCTGAGCCCGTGGGTTCGAGACCCGCCTGGGCAACTTGGCGAGACCTCATCTCTACAATAAATCAAAAATTAGCCAGGCGTAGTAGCGCACGCCTGTAGTTCCTGCTACTCGGAAGCGTGAGGCGGAAGGATCGCCGGAGCCCAGCAGGTTGAGGCTGCGGTGGCCGGAAGTGGCCACTGCACTCTAGTCTGGGAGACAGAATGAGACTCCAACTCAAAAAAAAAAAAAAAAGAAAGAAAGAAAGCTATATATACACATACAAAATAAGGCCTATTATGTTTTGCTATTGAGAGACATACAAAAGAATTGCAATACACTGAAATGGCCAAATTTCTTTGAATGGATAAAAGAAATTCCATGGCCAGGCTTGGTGGCTCAGCCTGTAATCCCACGCTTTGGGAGGCCGAGGTGAGTGAATTGCCTGAGCCCGAGGGTTCGAGACCCGCCTGGGCAACTTAGTGAGACCTCATCTCTACAATAAATCAAAAAAATTAGCCGGCGAGGTAGCACGCACCTGTAGTTCTGGTTACTTGGAAGGTTGAGGCGGAAGGATTACTGGAGCCCAGCAAGTTGAGGCTGCAGTGGCTGGGAGCAGTCACTGCACTCTAGTCTGGGTGACAGAGTGAGACTCCAACTCAAAAAAAAAAAAAAAAGAAATTCCAAAGCAATGAGAGATTGGTGTCATCAATCTATGTGTTTTAAAGGACCATCATCAATATGTCAAACATCTCTTTATCATCTTCGAACAGAAAACTGTATGGGGCACCCTTTAGGAAATGCTGTGTCACCAATATTGTGTGATAAATTCAGAAATCAGTGGCTCTGAATCTGAAAATGGTACAGAAGAGTTGGACTTTGAAGTGAAGATATCTAAGAAATACCTTATCTTCATTTCACATTTTTTTCTTTTTAAGTGTGCACAAAATGATATAGAAGATGGAAACTAACCCAGGCTTAGACCACCCAGAGTACAGCAGTACCCTGGCCACAATGACTGGCCAGTCAGAGTGAGGGTCTGGGCTTTGTTCACTCCTTATTCTGACTTCCTCCTTCCTATGCTTGATTTTTGGAGCCATCCTATGACTCCAAAATGTTAAGGAGAAGCAGCCTTAACGTGAAGCCAACTCATGGATAAGAGGAGAGAAGCAAAAGAACCAGCATTGTTGATGACATTATTGAACCACAAGGATCACCTCAAGGCAATTTGAGCTAAGTTTTCTGTTACTTGCAAATTAAAGCTTTCTAACTGAATAGACTCAGTAAATGTTAGTTGATAATGCAAATGATGATAGTGAGGACATTTGAGACAATATTGCTTTCCCAACCAGGGGGCAGAATAATCCCACCATCCAGCCCTCAATCAGTCATTGGTTCACCTGAAAAACCACTGGTCACATCTATTGAAGACTCTAGAAAGAGGTCCTAAAGTCTGTAGGCTGCTGTGAGGCATGCCATGGAAGTAATGCATCCTTATGCTTTAAAACATAAGAGCTGAATTCAGGGATATTGGCAAGTAGGAAAGATATTTGGAGCCAATCTGTGTACATTTATTATTCATATATAATTACTGATCTTGATTTGACTTCCATGCATCTAGAATGGGAATCTGGGTGTGTGATGATGAAGTCAAGTACCAGTTTTTGCTTTATTTTCACTTTGATGCTGGGTACTTCCTGAACTACTTCCAACAAGCCCAAACACTGCAGATCCATTAGCTTAAAGCATCATGTTATAGCCAGACATAGTTACTCATGCCTGTAATCCCAGCACTTTGGGAGGCTGAGGTGGGAGGACTGCTTGAAGCCAGGAGTTCGAGACCAGCCTGGGCAACAAAGTGAGACTCCATCTCGTCTTCTTTTTTAAAATTATGTTACGCTACAGTCTTGGGTAATTCCTGAGTAAGCAGAAGATACTGACTGGCTGAGTCTAGAGGTGCAGTGACACTGAAAGAATCACAAATCTTACCCAGATCTGCCTCCTGCTATCAATGGCTTTCTGCTTGTCCGATGGGATAGAAAAGTGGGGGACAGAAAAGTTCCTATCCCCTGTCAAGATAGTACTGTATCTAAGTTACCGAAATTGTCACAAAGCTTCCATTCAATCTTAAACTCTATCCCCACATCACCACTTAAATAAAAAATCTAAGGCTATTCTGTGATCTTTACAACACTTGAATTATTTTTCTCTTTAAAACCTGGCAGGTTGGTGAGTATTTTTTGGTTTATTTTTTATTTTTTATCTTTGAGCTTTGTAAATAAGTTTTCCTGTGCCTGATTGCCCATAACTTATTTTTCTGGTCTAATGAGTGTTTTTTAATGAGTTCAGCCTGTGCCTTCTTGTACAAAAAGAAACTTGGGAATGTGAGGAGCATATTAATTAGCTATCAGATCTGTCTGTTTTTGAAGTCCAGAGTCTTGGGATGTTACAAAAGTGTAAATATAATCATGATTTTTGCATGATTAGTAATTATAACACAGCTAAAGCCTTGGGGGCACCTCAGAACTCTGCTATCCACAACTGCTCAATGGCTCTGTCATTAATGATCAGTCTTTGGGGACCCATGTCCCAAGGAAGTGGTTTCCTGTTTTGTTCTAAGTGGTCTTCCCTGCAAACCTTCCTCATCTTTGACCAAACTTCCTATTTCAGGATGGAAAGGATGACTTCTCTCTGGTCTTCACAAGGTAGGGAGAAATGAGACAGAAGTAAGAAAGGTCCTCTAGGAGTAAACTGCCTTTTTTTTTTAGTACACCCACATTGTACTAAATTATACTAAATATTTTCTGGCCTTCAAATCAGAGGCCTACTCCTTCTAGGAAACTACATGGTCAACCAGGGTGATCCCTCTTACCTCCAGTTAAGACCCACCTACTCAGGTTGCATGCGGTGGCTCAAGCCTGTAATCCCAGCACTTTGGAAGGCTGAGGCAAGAAGAATGCCTGAGTCCAGCCAGGGGTTTGAGACCAGCCTGAGCAACTTGGTGAGACTTCATCTTTATAATAAATCATAAAATTAGCTAGGTGTGGTGGTGCCATGTGCCTGTAGTTGGAAGACTGAGGCAGAAGGATCGCCAGAGTCCAGCAGGTTGAGGCTGTGGTGGCCGTAAGTGTGCCACCACACTCCAGCCTGGGCAACAGAGTGAGACTCCAACTCAAAAATAAAAAAAAGAAAAAAAGAAAAAGAAAAGATTCACCCTCTCTCTCACAACATTTCCTACGTACATCTCCGTGCAGGCCCTGGGGTCCCAGAAATGAACAGTCTGCTTAAGGAGACACCCCTTAAATGGATTCTATGGGTCCAAGTGTTGCCTTAAGTTTACATGGAATATGGGTAGTCAGGAAGGTGAATCAGGGAACACTTTGGACTTTGTACACCTCCAGGCAGCTCCCAGGTAAAGGAGGGGAAGGCATTGCAGGAAAATGGCCACCTCTGACCACCAGGCAAGTCAGCCTGCTTTGCTACTTCATGGCATGCTGCCCTGTGACTGGTCTTCCACTGATCTTTTGAGTTTTGTCTCATGAGGCAGCTCTTGCTGTCTCTGAAAATATGTTCTCCCATCCACTTACTTTTTTAAAAGTGTGGACACTTACTATATGAGGAGGAAACTAATAAATCAATGTGTGACAAACTAGCCCCAATGCTGCTCAGAGTCTGAGAGGAGCAGGCAGCATCCCGGGAGCAGGCTCTGGGCTGCGGCTAGCCATTCTCTGCTCGATAGCCAGCATTTTGGGGTAAAGGAGAACATGCGGTGAGGATGAAGGCTGGCAGTTCTGAATTTGTATACAGAGATGAAGGAACGCCCATCGAAACGCGTCTATTCTGAAGACTCCTCCTCCCCATGCAAAAAAAAAAAAAAAAAAAGCCATCAAAAAAAAAAAAAAAAGACTCTTCAAAACCACACTGAAAACTGGCAGGTGACCGGCCTCGTCTACAGGACAGGTGCTTCTAGCTCTTAGTGAGATCCAGCGCCTCCTTTGGACCCAAGCAGCGCCCTAAAGAATGCATTAAGGGCCTACGTTCACCGACTCGCGGAGGAGTGAACCGAACCAATGCTGAGCGAAGAAGGGACCCTCTAGGACGCGCCCGTAGACTCGGAGGTCCAGTGACACCCACGCCACAGGCTGCGATGCCAACCAGCGGGACGGAGGCGGGGCCCGAGCGCTTCGCGCAGGGGGAGGGGCGGGGCGAGTCACGTGGGAGCGGCGCGGCGGAGCGGAGGCGGCGCTGGCGCGGAGCTGCGCAGGCGCGGGGCCTGCCCCTGGGACCCTCGGGCCGGGTGGCTCCGGTCCCTCGGTTCCCAGGCGTCGGGCGCTAGAGCGGGCAGATAGAAGGGAGGCACTTGCGGCGGTGCTTGGCGCGGGGGCTCTGCTAGGCACGTGACGTCCGCGGAAGCGGGGCCCGCCGCGGCGCAGGTGAGGAAACTGAGGCAGGGCCGGGTCGGCTGTGCGCGGGTGGAGGAGATGCCGGGTCTACGAGGTTTGCAGTTCGGGCCCGTCCGGCGCCGACTAGAAGCTCCGAAGACACTCTCGGAGGACAACGCCCCCTAGCGACCCTACGGCGCCGCTCCGCCCGACCCCGCGCGCCGCGGCCGGTCGAAACACCCAGCTCTCGTGTCGGAAGACTCGAGGTCGAGATTGGGCACTGATGTGACGGGCGAAGAGCCCCCTCCTTCCCCGCCCCCAGACTTGAGTGAGCCTGGTGGCACCGATCTACACGGAGTGTTGGGACGGAGGACCGAGAAAAGGGCTCAGCCGTGGCGCGTCCGCCCCACCGAGGTGGGCCTGGGGTCTGCCCGGAGCTGACGAGCCAGCGAACCCGCGCGAGGTGCAGGGCCTGACCGTACTCGTTTGTGTGCGTGCATAGGAGTCGTGTATTTTATGAGGACACGGTTTCTAGCTTTCTTCAGAGGAACCTGTTCCTCTCTTCCCCAAAGGTTATACACTCCTGACTTAAAATTGAGAGGATCCCAAGTGTAAATTTCAAATCACTGTGCAGAGGTCTGGGAATGAAAAGATCAGAACAAGGCACCAATGAAATGATGTATCCTCAGGGTTGTTGCTGGGGCAGGAGGTGAGAAGGAAGTGGAGATGGTTAGAGGCATGGTCCAGCCAAACAAGAGCTATGGGGTAGGGGTTGTGCAGAGCACACCCGAGAGTCCAGAAGCCAGATGCAAGTTCAGGTCCAGCTGATTCGTGCCTCTTTTCCTTACCAAACCATGCTGTTTCTACAGCCCAATTACCTAGAACTCAACTTAGTTTTTGCTGATTGTTTTTCTTGTAATGTATTTTCCTTTAAGCCTGACACATGATTTTTAAAAAGAAAATAATTACTTAGGATTTGTTTTGAAAAGCACTGTCAGGTAGCCAGCTTGTATAGTCTTGGATGCTCCTGCCTTGGCCTAGCCTTAGGGGCTGAAAATTGGGATGCATCCTGCAAGCCCTGGTCTCGTTAGAAGATACTCTTTCATCAGAAAACTCTCCATTTTGTGTGCACATAACGTTTGGAGGTGATCATTAACTAATCTAGAAATGAGGAAGAATTACACATATCTATGGCATTCTTTGTAAGGCAGTTTACAAGGCACCTCCTGTACATTTAATCCTTTGAATTCTTGGAACTCTGTAGAAGGTAACTCCAGAATCATTCCTGTATTTCTGATGCAAAATAGTGCCTTGTCCAGGTTCATACAGTTTGTAAGAAGTAGAATTAAATCTTAGTTATTCTTGGTCTAGCTTTTCTCATATCCCCCTCCTTTATAAGGACATGCCATTTAATTGAGACATTATGCATTGCTCCTGAAAGGATACAGAAGGCATTTCTGATTTTTGTTTCATCAGTTTGTGTAATTTAAATGATGCCCGGAAAGTTTAGTTAGGACTGGAACTCTAGGGTTCAATTCCCTGGCTCTGTTAGTAACTCAGAAATAAGGCAGCTCTTCTGCCAGCTGGGTTCTTACCTTTTTGTACAAAGTTGTACAGAGGCTCCAAATCTCCCTCTGCTGAGACTTGGATGCCAGGAACCATCCAGAGGCGCTGTAGAGGGAGTCAACCTCACCTCTGAGCTCAGTGGCTTCTGCCACAGGGAGAATACAGCTGGGCAATGCCCTTTGCCTTCTCTGGCACTAGTGCAGAAGGCAGTGTTGATTGCTGTAGGGGCAGCATGCGTGTGTGTTGTAGACTGGGCGGACAAGCCAGTGTTCCCACCAGACCTAGAACTTCCATCCAGAGGTAAGCTTGTAGTGACACAGGTGCAGAAGTTGTTTGGCGTTTTGGTCTGTCCTTCAGATGTGCTGCCCATGTAGGAGGTGAATGAATCAGCCTTGTAAAGAAGAGAAAGAATGCTGCCTTACTGTTCTCTGGTGCATTGCTGCATTTCACATTGCCTCACATATACTTCCATGACAATACTCTTGTTTTTAAGAAGACGCTGAGGTTCAGAGGGATGAGCCCGCCTCTCAAAGTCTAAGAGTGAGAACCCAGGATTTTTATCTTTTTTTTTTTTTTTTTTTTTGAGTCAGAGTCTCGCTGTTGCCTAGGCTGGAGTGCAGTGGCACACTCAACAGCCACTATAGCCTCTACCTGCTGGATTTAGGCAATCCTTCCATCTCAGCCTCCCAAGTAACTAGGACTACAGGCGCATACCACCACACCTGGCTAATTTTTTTATTTATTGTAGAGATGAGGTCTTGCCAAGTTGATTAGGCTGGTCTCGAACCCCTGAGCTCAGGCAATCCTCTTGCCTCTGCCTCCCAAACTGCTGAGATTACAGACGTGAGCCACCACGCCTAGCTGATTTTTTATCTTTTAGTTCATTGTTTTTTGTGATACTGCCCTTGCCTTCCTATCCATACCTATATAACTTAATGGTTCAGATGTTCTGAGCCCAGACCAGAGGCTGTGCAGTTGAAGGTAGAATGGCTAGCTCTTTTGGGGGAGCCCTGCAGCTTCAGCATCACTTATCAGAGGAAGGGACCCTCGCAGCCCCCCCATTCTTCACCCTTAGCAGCATATCAAAGTTGCCTAGTAGCTGATTATGTCCTCTTGGTCTGCTTTCAGCATCTGTTCAAAACTGTCTGTATCTGGCATCTGAGAGTAGGGGTTGGGCTAGATCCAGGCAGACAGCCACTCCAAGGAACAGAACTGAGAGCTGAAGACTGAGGCGAGTGCGTGAGAGCTCATTGCAAGAGTGGGTGGGAGGGCGTCTCCTATTGCTTATGGGTCTATGGGTGCCTGTGTCATCAGTCTGCTAGACAAGAATCAACAGGACCTTGTTACTATGGGGAGGAGAGGTGCAAAATGGCTTCTTAGCTGAGAATGGGCAATGTGACCCTTAAGACATTTGGCTTTGGTCTATAAGCTGCTTGCTAATGGTTGGGTTTAGGAGAGGCTGGTGTCTCTCCAGGCATCAGATCTCCTAGGCCCTGTTTATAACAGAGCAGTCTTGGTCTCAGCTTGCTTGAGGCCAGGGAACAGGCTTCAGGACTTTCAGAGTCCCCTTCCAGTCCCCAACCCCCACACTGATTAAACTTCAGAGGCTACTGGCCTGTGACTGGCTGTCTGGGGCCCACAGTGTCCAATACAGGATAAATAGTTATGGACTGGGAGTTGGAAGATCCAGATCTGCATCCTAGTATAGCCACTGACAATCTGCCCTGCTCAAGTAACCTTGAACTAGCCAGCCTCTTTTCAGAGTCTTAGTTTTCTTATTTACTCAATAAAGGAGGGGCTATACTAGAGCTTTGATGAAAGGAGAGGAGAAAGGAAGAGAGCAGCTAGGGAAGATGAAGCCTCCTTTCCAGCCTTGTTCACTGAGGGCCTGAGGCAAGCAGGCCCATGCACACTCTTATTATTATTACTATTTTTGTCTCCCTCAGCACCCTTTCTTCCTTCTCCCCTGCCTCTGCCTCAGGCCACCTCATTCTGAGGAGGGAGGATTCCCTGGGTAGGGCTGGGCTGGGCAGGTATTCCCTTGATGTTTAGAGTATGATGCTGTCTCTACTTGCTTCAGACATTAATTAACCCACCCAGTGCTGATACTTTGATTTATTAAGACTTGATCAGTTTCTCCCAGGAGGCAGCTTCTGGAACAGTCAGGAGTTAGGCCCAGGGAAGGAGGCAGTGAGAATGTGCACACTCTGCAGGACAGCAGTGGTGGCAGGTGCCCCCATGGCTTTCTGGACACCAGATCCCTGTAGTTGCAATCACATGGTACTTTAGAAACTTTGGATGTCAGAGCTGAGACAACCTCATAGAGTTTCTTCCTCTGTCTGTATAGATGACGAGATCCAGGCCCAGAGTGTCTTTGTAGCTACGCAAGATTGCCCTACTAGGGGACAGTGGGTTAGGACCCAACCTAAGGTCACCTAAGCACCAAGCTTGAGTGTTTTCTTTAACATCAAGCCAACCCTGTCCAAAATTACCTTTTGTACTGAGCAGAAATTGGAATTGGGTAGGTATAAGTTAGTTGCAACTCTGCCTCACTCTGGAGTTTGAAGAGTAGAATTCAAATGACCAGGATATGTGTTGAGCTCTGGGGATGCAAGAATGAATAAAACAACAGCCCCTGTCCTCAGATTGGGCTACCATATTGTGGAGACAGACACGAATAACTAAAATACATGAAGTTCATTTGTGCGGTGTGCAGAGTTATATGTGAGTAAACATGCATGCATGCTGTGTAATCAGAAGTGAGGGGCAGTCAGTTGTTGGGGCTTTCAGGAACGGCTTTAGAGAGAAAGTGTTATTTGACCTTATGAGTAAGTAGGCATTTACCTGGTTGGTGTGGGTGGGGAGGGCTTTTTGGTTAAAGGAAACAGTGTGAACAGCAGCAGCACAGGGCCTTACACAGTGAGTGGTCTGGCAAGGGTGTTGCAGTGGTAGGAATGAGGCCAGAAGGGTGGGCTGAAGCCAAGCTGTGGAGGGCCCTGTCGGCCATGCTGAGTTTATTGGTAGCGAGAGTCTGAAAGCAAAGGAAGGATGTGATCAGGTCGGGGTGCGTTCGATCACTCTGGCAACAGCGTGGAGAATAAACTGTAGGGGACCAGACTAGAGCCAAGCCAGGTTCAGTTCTTAAACTTGAACCGAACCTGGTTATTGAAAGTTCAAATTACAGGGGCCGGGGCTTGGACAGCAGCAGGGAATCTGAGAAGAGGATGAGTAGCAGACACATTTTATAAGATGGACAGAACTTCCAGAATGAGTAAGTATGGGCAGTGGGGGTAAAAGAGAAGTAAAATGTGAGTCCTGGGTTTTGACTTGAGCAGATACTTGTGTCATTCGCTGAGCTAGGGAACTCCAGCAGAGAAATGGACTTTAGTTTTGTACGTGGTGGAACAGAGATACTTA